TTTTTTTTAGTAATTTTCCAAACCTAACTAGTTTTGATATCAGTAAATTTTAAGAAGTGCAAAAAAGGCTATCTCCGTGAAAATTTTTTTTCCTTTCATCTAAATATAATCTGTTTTAAATAGAGAATATTTTTATACCGAAGAAAACGGTGACTTGTCGTCAAATCAGCGACAGCGCGTCGCATGTATTCTACAACAGAAAATGTGGAAAAAAGAAAATTACTTACCAAACAAAAGGGCACATATTCTGGATGACATGCTGAAGATGGAATATTTGAATTAAAAAAACCAATTCCGTTGCTGGAGTCACTATAAAAGTATTTTGATATGAAAAATACTGAACATCCTCTTCCAGCTGTCGACGAATGGAAAAAATGTTTGGCCAATAAAAGCAGTTGGTGTTCTCGAATCAAGTTGGCTATTTTGGCTGCCACGTTGGTTGGTGAGTGGGTTATTTTTCTGACTGGTTGCGTGCATTGTGATTTGTGAAATAGTACTTGTGAATCGAGTTTTCAGCATTTCTTTCTGCCCCCCTATGGTCGAGTCTGAACTTAGTGATTTATTCTCTGTGATGTGGAAATAATCTGCGACAAACATATCCTTTGCCATCCCAGATCACTTACAAGCTATTTTGGCACTATGACGAACAAGACATTTGACGTTAAGTTGATACCAGAGTTTGATGGTTCAGTGACCGAACAAGCAGTTACTGAATGGATTGAGAAGGCAGAACTTGTTTGTGACCTGTGTAGAATTAAAAAGGTTGAACGTGTTCTTTCTTTGAGGTTGACAGGTGGAGCATTTGCTGTTTACCAGCAGTTAAACTCGGAACAAAAATCGGATGTCGAGCAGATAAAAGCAGCCCTGAAGATTGCCTTTGCACCAGATTGTTTCTTGGCCGACTGCACCCGGACAATTCTGTCGATGTGTTTCTAGCCGACTTGAAGAAGGTAGCTGGTCTATTTGGCGGGATATTGGAGCAAGGATTACCATGTGGGTTCATAGCAGGGTTACCAGTGCACGTCAAGCAACTACTGCGCACGTCTTCCAGGATGGAAGACATGAATACTAACCAACTGTTGGACCGAGCTTGGGCCATAATGAAAGATCAAATTGCCACTGAGAAAATGGTTGCGGCTACCATTTCACCAGGCGGAGCTGATAAACATCCAAATGTTAAACGTCGGGAGAGTATGCAATGTTATCGATGCTCTGGGTGGAATCATCTTGCCAGGGACTGCCTGGTTTGACGAGAAGATGGTCGTCAGCCACGCGGGTCACGCACAACAATACGTTGCTTCCAGTGTCAAGAAGTATGCCACATTGCTTCATTGTGTCCAGCGAAAAGAAAGGGACAAGACGTCAGCGCCGGTCTCTTCCATAAGCGAGTTATGAATGAAGCGCTACCTGTTGTGAACGGAATTAAGAGAGTGGCACTGGTGGACACTGGCTGCTCACAGACACTCGTGATTAAGTCAGCCTGTCAATCCTGGCGGGTGACAGAGGTGAACGTACTCACCATAAATGGAAATACTCTCAAATGTTGTGGGTTGGAAGTATTAAACTTGACATGGACAACATAAACCCCCTCAAAATCGATGTCTTGGTAGTGGATGGAAGCTGCTGGGTTTTGACTTGTTGCTTGGATTGACGCCATTAAAAAAGTTGGGCGGACTCAAATAACACAGTGTGGCAATATACGGTTTTCCCAAGTGTGGGATAGTCTGTTACACCACTATTAAAATAGAAGAACTTGATTTCTGTGCAAATTCAACCCAAACCGGAAGATATGGGTCGCATCATGGAAGTGGTCTGATGGTCAATCACGGAGAGTTTGAGAAATTGGATGCCCAGTACCCAATACCAACAGGAGTCAAGGAGGAATATGACTGTGAGCTGCAGACCTGGCTTGATAACAGTTGGTTGCAGCCTTATCCTGAAAAGGAACTTGGTCCTCAAAAGGTTTAATTCCATTGATGGCAGTGGTGCAGAAAAACAAAAAAAAAGTGCGGCCAGTATTAGACTATTGAGAGCTGAATGAGTGTCTTGACACACACGCAGCCAATGCTGACATGTGCACAGAAACTGAGGGATTGGTGTAAAAAGGACTGGATGTCACTATCCTTGACCTAGGCAGGCCTATTTACAAGTACATATCCATAAGTCACTTTGGCCCTTTCAAACTGTAATCTTCAATTGCTTGACCCAAATGGGTTTCAGGTTGAATGTTGCACCAGCTATAATGAAGGTCATTGTGGACACCACGTTGGCTAAAGATGAGTCCGTTCAACGGGCAACCTCATCATATATTGATGATATTTATGTTGATGAGAGCATGATTTCATCAGCTCACATGAAAGAAAGCTGCATTTGGTTTGTCCTGCAAGGATCCGGAGCGGTTATAGGATGGCACACATGTGCTGGGTTTGCATGTCACAGAAGATAACAAACATGTGGAAACATGAAAATGGCATTCCATCATTTCTGAGGTCCTGACATGACATAACGTCTTTTTTCATGGTGTGGAAAACTGGTGGGTCACGTTCCTGTGTGTGTGTGCTTGATGTTGCTGCATCATTTGTAAAATGCAGGATAGTATCAATCATGTCTGGTTGGGATGACAAGTGATAGATGCTCCCTTTAAGAACATGATTGAGGACATAGCAGAAAGAATATCCCAGAATGACCCTGCACACAGTAAGTGGTGCACAAGCAGACACACTTAGGAGATATGGGTCGATGCAAGTTCTCTAGCCACAGGGGTTTCGTTGGAGGTTGACAGAAGCGTTGTAGAAGACGCATGTTGGTTGCAACCTGTGAAGGACGCCCAACATATCAATTTATCAGAATTGGATGCTATTCTGAAGGGCGTCAATTTAGCATTACTGTGGGGTGCAACAGAGCTACACCTTTTCATGGACTCCGTGTGTGTGCACCAGTGGGTATCAAACATGCTCACTGGCAAAGCCAGAACATGAACTAAGGCGGCAAGTGAGATGCTGATCCGGAGGTGTTTGAATACTCTTGAAAAGCTGATTCAAGAGTATAACTTATTGATCATGATAAGTTTTGTAACGTTGAGTGAGAATCGAGCGAATAGGCTCACCAGAGTACCGCAATGATGGTATGATATGATAAAGAAGGAAACTGAACCAACACGCCCGATATGCGCTTCCCCGGTGAATGAAACCTCTCCTGATCAGATACATGCCATACATTGTCTGAGTGGACATCCTGGCGTCAGGCAGACGATATATTTTGTGAGATGAGTGTACCCTACAACATCCAAGGCTGACATCAAGGCAGTGGTCAGAAAATGTAAAGAATGCCAGTCAATTGACCCAGCCTCAAGTCATTGGCATTATGGCAACCTAAGTGTGACCGAAATCTGGACCCGCTTAGGAATGGACATTACACATTACGGTGGGCAGCACTACCTTCGTTAATTGATTCTACCTAGTAGATTTGCGATATGGCGACGCCTGCTTCAACAAGACTCAAGAAGCATCATTCAGCAGTTAGAAAGTTTTTTTTTTTTTTTTTGAACAAGGCCCACCATCAGAAATCCTGACCGACAATGTCACTGCATTTCGCAGTAAGTCCTTTAAAGATTTCTTGGATGACTGGGGAGTCCAACTTCGTTTTTGCTGTGCCTATGTTCCTGCAGGAAATGGTATAGTGGAAAGATCTCATTGGAGCATAAAGCTTAATTGCAGCAAGAAAGCAGTGTTCGATAATGGAGGCAGTATACTGGCATAATATCAAACCGAAGGATGATATACCATCAACTAATGCGCCTGCCAATATGATTCACCGTTACCAACTGAAAGTAAAGGGAATTACTATAACATTACCACCTGATCGTTGTAAGTATCACGATATATACAAAGTGAAATGTATGTAAAAGATCTTTGCTTTTTCATTGATTCTGATACATTGCCAAGTGAATCCGATGATGATTCAGCATCTGACAGTGATCGGATAATTGAGATCTGCGAATCCGATGCTTCCACAGACACAGAATTTCCGGAAACTGGAGATACATCTGATGACTCCTCAGGAGACGACTCTCCGACACGCGTAAGGGAAATAGTGCTATTACGACAAAGCACCAGGATAAAGAGAGCTGCTCCAGGCTGTTCGATTTGTGATAGTGAGATCAGGGGGGAGTATAGCGAAGAAAACAGTGACTTACCTTGTCGAACCAAGCGACAGCACATCGCATGTATTCTACAATGGAAAATGTGTCGAAAAAGAAAATTACTTACCAAACAAAAGGGCATATATTCCGCATGACATGCTGAAGATGGAATATTTGAATTAAAAAAACAAGTCTGTCGCAGGAATCGCTATAAAAGTATGTTGATGTGCAAATTGCTGAACATCCTCTCCCAGCTGTCGCCGAATGGAAAAAAATGCTCAACCGATAAAAGCAGTTGGTGTTCTCGAATCAAGGAAAAAAGTTGGCTATTTTGGCTGCCACGTTGGTTGGCAAGTGAGTTATTTTTCTGACTTGTTGCGTGCATTGTGATTTGTGAAATAGTACTTGTGAATCGAGTTTTCGACATTTCTTTCTGTCCTCGATTTTCGAGTCTGAATTTAGTGATTTATTCTCGGTGATGTGGAAATAATCTGCAACAAACATTTCTTTTGCAATCCCAGATCGTTTACAATTTTACTTACTGGAAATAGTAAATTTAATCATAAATGATTAAATTAAAGCTAAAAAGAGATATTCAAGAATGATTTTTCATTTTTAAACCAAGGTAACTGAGTGGAGGTGCCCATCTTTAATGTAACATTTGTTATAATTAATTCATAATTAACTTGAATGAATATTTAAAGATTTATAGATTTTCTTGTAATTTTTGTACCATGTAAGCACAGTGAAAGAAGTATTTGATTTTTATTCACATTTCTCAAATTTATGCTTTATTTCCTCTCTTTTTTCAGCATCAAATACTGAAAAAGCAACTTTAGGATTTTGTGGTACTTTGATAATGATATTGTCTCTTTTGCTAATAACTGTCACTCTACCATTTTCTCTTTGCCTCATCATTAAGGTGAGTAAAAGTTTTTAGCTTTACTTTGGTTTTTTATTTAGTCAATTGCATTAAGATATGCAAATATATGTAGATAGATGTCCATTATTTTCAAAAACTACTTTGTCATTTTAATGTCTTGTTCATCACAGCAGTGTAGGCTGTAACTTTGACTCTGACACCCTGTGGTAAGAAGTGGGCAAGTTATGATCATGATTGCTTAGGGACCTTGCAGGTAATGTGAAGTTGTGATGTATCACTCTGTGCAAAGCCACCTGTAATTCTTTCTAGTGGCCAGTCCACTTTCTTGAAGTTTATTGGCAGTTAATATTGTGACATGGCCCTCAATGTCAACTGTTAAATCAGATGTACAATAAATTTAATGAGAGATGTGCTGTTTTGTGTTTCTTCTTCTCCTCTTTCTTTTTTTTCTGGTTTACTACCTATCTGGACTGAGTTGTGTAAAAGAGGGCAGGAAAGGAATTTGGGGTCACTTGGCAACAAACAGAATGACCTAAGAAAGTGAGTAAGAATCATTCAACTATCCTTACATGACATACATCACCAAGTGGGATTTTGGTATTGTAATTTTAGTTTCCCGATGACCTCCAATGACAACAGTTTGGGAAAAATAGACTCTTATGCAATTGTAAGATATGAGAAATACACCCACAAGCCTAATCCATTACTTGTGTAGGGAATAAAGAAATTTTGTCTCAGATCTTGGATCTACTTGACTATTTAATGGATAAAGAATAAAGGAATATTTGTACCTAAACAGATACAAAGAAAACATTTTACTTTCATCTCAGATACCATTCAATTAACCAAAGGGAAATGAAACACAAACATTATTTCAGAATCTTATATTTCACATTCTGGGAGAAAGAACAAACAACTTTTGTGAACATTTTACAGCAACTTTGTCAGTTATTACAAACATTTGAACTCCAAATTCCTTAACACAAAATGTTTGAACTGACATCCAATATCAGTTAAGTGTTCTTTTATTAATTTTACATCTGTCACTTTTCCCATATTTTGTATTTTGTTATAGAAAATTTATTTACAAATGTTAATCTTGGGTTTGTTGTTCATTGGTACTTGTTCGTATGTTCCTCTCTGAGGAAATCAACCTTATTTTTTAAGTTTTTTTTTTATACATTGTGAATTCGTAACAGTATCATTAGTATACTGTGCCTTTTCATTTCTTGTGTAAGATTGGAAGGTTCAATGTTAATTTTCTTGATATACCTGCAAGAGAAATAAGAATGTTAAAATTTTGTACTTGCCACATAACATTAAGTTGTCTTTTACTTTATATAAAAGTGTGTTCTCAAATACCTAGCATGCTCTGTACATATTAACCAACAAAACTTGCTATCATTGTCATCAGGGTTTTCAGAGTATTGGCTACTGTAACTTAATCTACTCTTAATACCAAACTCCTTCTGAAGTGACTTAGCAAAAATTTCCTGGTATATTTTGCCTTTGTCCTACATCCATTAATAATGCATCTGTTTTGTATTGGTTTAAATTATCTTATTGCACAATTTACTAGTTGTAACTGTATTTTTTTTCTCCTATATTACATGCTACTTTTATAGTTTCCTGATAGATTCAACTGATTTTTTATGCCATATGTAATTTGCTAAGTAATGTTATTTAGGGTGTTATTGCAAACAATCAGTATGATATTGTGCCATAACTTGAAGGAGTAGGCAAACTACAAAGTTTGGTTAGGTGATGAGACATAATGACATAATTTATCAAGAATTTTTTTTTAATTTGAGTTGAATTTAATCTGATATGAAATTTTGCTAAACCTTTCTTAATTTAACTGAAACTTTGGCTTCTTTCTGTTTTTCACCCTTAATATTGCTAAACCTCTAAGGTAGCTTTATCCCTATCATTCATTATCAATTTTTTCATGTTTGGTTGGTCATATTATATGCAGTTTAATAGCACTGTCAAATCAAAAGCATATGGTAAAGGAAATATAGCATTCAAAAAATATCATGTTTGCATAAATATTACAATTTTGTTTTATAGTTTGTCTGTACATTAATGGGTTGAATTAAAAAAAAAAAATAACACGCACAAATTTTATTTCTGAAAAATAATCAGTATTACAGTAAAAAATTAATTATGCACATTTTTTTTACTATGTATAGAAAGCTAAGTCCTTAATTTTAATTTACACAATACTATGAAATATTTAATATTCATTTTCCTCTCTCCAAAGGAAAATCAAAGTCAGTTAGAATTGTTAATGACCTTAAAATTATACGATAGATTTTATGTAAAAAGTTGATCAGATTATAAAGTAAAAATTAGCTTAAAAAGTTCCTAGAAATATACATTAAAACAGTGCCTAGTTCAGTTATTTTCAAAAGTTTTTCAATACTTCTAGTAATATACTTATAAATTATGTAATATATGACTATTGATCAAAGTATATGAATTGATAAAACTTCAATTGGATGCTGAAGTGGTAGCTGATTAAGAAATACACTAGCTGAGGCAATTATGACCAATTATGATTGTTAACTGATACAATTGAAAAAGTAAATTGCCAAATGATACAATTGAAAAAGTAAATATTTTACAGTAAAAATTTGAAGTTACTGTTATTATTACACTTTATTTTTATTCCTTTTTAAAGAAATAAAAATAAAATGTAATAATGCCTTCAGAGTTTTTCCTTCCTGTGGAGCCTAATAATTTTTGGAAAAATGTTCTTTGGTTAGCCAATCTAACTTATGACTGAATTTGGTGTGGATATCTCCAAAGGAAAATATGGAAATGGAAGTGTAGCTGGAATGCTTTTCTTTCAGTGTTACAAGAGCACTTCATGTGAGTGAGGGAAATATAAATAGTTATTTATTGGAGTATTTTAGAAACTAACTTGTTCTTTTTGGTTGCTTGTAGAGATCTGAATCTTTCAACACGATATCCATCCATCTTGAATAGTTTGTTCAAAACTGGCTTGAATCTAATTGAAAATTCATGGGAAAGCTTTAATGATCAAATTTTGCTAGGAAATGGGGACTAAGATTTAAAAAAAAAATGTAAATTTTAAACAAATAGCTTTAATACAAGAAATATTTCTCATGCCAATTTTTCCTCCAATATTACATCTTAATTTGTTATTATAAGAAAATTTGTGTCCCACATCATCACAGTGATATATAAGAGTATTAAGGCAAATAGAAGAAAAAAAATCCTTAATTTTACTGCCTGATGTTCCACGAGTGAAACTGCAGTAGCAGTAAGTTTTGAATTTTTTATTAACTGTTTTAGAAAAAAGTTATACATGTAAACAGAAATGAGATATCTGCCATAATCTTCTTTTATTTAATTTTCCTTTCAGGTTGTTCAAGAATATGAAAGAGCAGTTATCTTCCGATTAGGAAGATTGCTTTCAGGTGGTGCCAAAGGGCCAGGTAAATATTATACTTTTCAATACTTGATATGAGAAATTAATGAGAATTCCATGTAAGAGTGCTGATCATTGAGTTGGTCTAGCAACTGTAGGAGTCAGTACTCACTGCTGTTAATAGCTAAATTATTGCTGTGTTCTATTTCTGTATCAGAATTTAAATACTGAAATAATATAATTCTATTGTTTATATATATTCAAGATATAAGCAGAATCAAAATAATTTATCAAATCTAGATAAGACAACACTGCAGATTGTTGTGTGTTGTTATTTTAATAGTAAATTCACAAATCAAATTTGAGAATTTGAATTTACCATAATTTCTCAAAAATAATACGCACCCATAAATAATTCACACCCAAACAAATGATCCAAAAATTAAGAAATATCTCTATCCCTGCATCTATAAATTTTGTCAAAAAAATATAAATATAACATTTTATGATAAAATATAACATTTTATTTTACCGACAAAATGTTGTCAAAACGTGTGAGTTATAGAGCAAATTTTAAACAAAGAGTAATAGAATTAGCAGAAAGAATAGGAAACAAAGCTGCAGCTAGAGAATATGAGTTGAATGAGGCTAACATACATTTATGGAGAAATTGTAAATCAAGTGCCAAAGCTATAGTTAGAAGAAGAAAAGCTCAATATCCAGATATGGAATAAAGTTGAATTTGTGAAAGAAAGACGATCAAGTGGATATTCCATAAGTACTGTGGAAATAAGAATGAAGGCAAAAGAACTTATGAAAACCATGTATCCTGGAAACACATTTAAAGCTTCAGCAAACTGGTGTTTTCTTTTAATGAAGACGTTTGATATATCTATTAGGAGAAGGACATCCATAGCCCATTGTTTGCCTAATGACTACGAAGATAAGCTTTTGAATTTTCAGTGTTTTGTTATTCAGTTAAGAAAAAAGTACACCTATCCTTTAGGCTGTATTGGAAATGCTGACAAAACACTGTTGATTTTTGATGTGTCTTGTTTTCAAACTCTAGAATTCAAAACAACTGGAAATGAGAATAATAGGTTCACAGTCATGCTTGGTGCATATCGTGATGGTAAGATGTCCCCTTACGTAATTTTTAAACAAAGAACACTGCCAAAAAACGTTGAGTGCCCAGTCGGTATGATAGTAAAATGTCATGAAAAATGGTGGATGGATGAGAATTTCACAAAGGACTGGCTGCTGAATGTTTAATATAAACAGAATTTGCAAAAAGTAGACGTATGTTGGTTCTTGATGCATTTCATTACAATAAGATGCCTTGCATGAAGAATATACTTCCAGAGAAAAGGACTGATCTTGTTATTATACCGGGGGAATAACTGGCCAACTTCAAGGAATGGATGTCTGCAGCCGTCCATTTAAACAAGAGATGCGTAAAAAATGGAATGACTGGATGTTTTACTGCTGGTGGCAACAGGAAAAAACAGAGTTGGAACTTATTGTAAAATGGATTCAGGAATCTTGGGATTCCGTCAGTGAGGATGTTATAAAGAGAGGTTTCAAGAAGTGTTTTCTCAGGACAACCATGGATGGCTCTGAAGATGACATCCTTCGGCAAGAGAATGAAGAGTCCGAAGATAATTTTGAACAGGACGAAGATAATATTGTAAATGATAATTTGCTTAATGACAATTTAGATATTAATTCTATAATAGAAAGTGATGATAATGAAAATTAAAATTTCAGTAAATTGTTAATTTAGTATCCTCTTTTCTTCAAAATTGACCTTTTTTAGATTTTTTTTGCCAGATAAAAAATGCGGTTACTGATAAACATAAATTTATTGGCAAAAAATTGCCAGTATTCAAACTTTAAATTCTTCCATTGCTCAGTCTCTCAGTCAAATAGATTTCCCTACTCATTTCTATAATAATCAATATGCTTCTTTATATGATTTGCTCCTTACCTCCTCTCCTGGCTCCTGTCAAACATCACAACACTCATACAATTCTTGGAAATTTGCAACACTCTGCTGATATTTCTTTTGATTCATTTATTAGACATTAAAACTTTTTTCTGTTATGAGTGTACTGATTGGGATTCATTTTGTGATTTTTTTTTGAGATGCTCTTTGGAGTGAAATTTTAAAACTTTCTATTGAAAATTGTGCCACTGAGGTTTCTTTTTGGGTAAAAGCCAGTATCTGCTTTTGTGTCTTGGAAATATTAAATGAAGCCACAATCTTCTCCTTTGTTCACTCCTACCTGTTCAGATGCTGTAGCCCATAGGAATCACTTTTGACTCATCTGGAGTATCTTTGCCTGACTTTACAATAGAACTGAGTTTCTATTCTATGATTTGCATATCACTCTGTCTATGATTTCTGCTATTGTCTCTAAATTTAATCCCCAAAAAACATGCAAACTTAAAAAATGTGCTCCTGAAATGACTGCTGTTCTCTGTAAACTCTACAATAAATGCCTTGCAGCTTCTTGCTTATTGGAAATCCTCTTCTGTTGTTCCTGGGTTTAAAAACTCAGGTGGCTTGTTAATTTTAATGCCTCCAAAATGAAACTGCTCTCTTAATCTTTAACTTTCATCAGTATGGTTGATGCTAATCTCCAGGAGAGTGACTTATTGTTCCTTTTTGGGCTAACATTTCCCACTGCTGTTAAGTAGAAAGATCATAAAGATCAGCTGCTAAGTCTGTTGCCAGGAAAGTTGGTTTACTGTGTTGTGCTAGATAATTTTTCTTGCCAGAATCTGTCTTGCATCTTAAGTCTACCATTCATCCATGAATTGAATATTGCTACATTGTCACTAGTGTTTCTGCTGTATATTTAGAAATTCTAGATAAAATCCAAAGAAGAATCTGTAATGTTAAAAACTGGTCATCTTGGCTTGTTACTTTCTCACCATCTTAATATAGCTTTCCTGTGGTTTTTCTATAAATATTTTTGATGTAATGGAATAACCTGTCACCCTCATGAGTGACTACACTATAGGTAGCCTATAAGTATCTGTAAGTCAGTGGATCCCAGCTAGTCAGAGACTAGCTGGGATCTGTTAAGTACAACTCAGACTTACACAAGTACTACCAACCTTTCAATAGTAGCACCTCACTACTTGATTGACTTGTGACAACCTTGTGCATAACTGTTACCTTTATACTTATTGTACTGGTTTATTACAATAAACCTTTACTTATTTTAACAGCCTTGTTTTTCAAGTATATATTCCTATTAGCATGCAATGTAACAATTTTCATGATGTTCTGTTGAGCTTTCCTCTTTAGTACCTTGACTTTATAAACTTAAGCACAGTACTAGATTGCCAGCTCGGTCTCCCCATTTTACAGTTGAAATTACTAGAGATAATCATTAATTCAATGTTAAGTATTTTTTTCTCTTGCACTTTTTGGAACTGTCTTTAGGTTTCTTGTTTTCCAGTTTTCAAAAATTTAAATGTAATGTTTTCTTCTTTTTCGGTATCCTTTAATCTTGTTTTGTTATTGTCTTCTCTTCCTAAGAATGATTTTTCTCAGGTTCTTTCACTCTCAGTAAGCCTTTATGTCTTAGTAGTCACCTTGCTTTAGGTGAAACAATTAAGAAAAAAAAGAAAAAGATCATTTCTTATATCTTACCGAAATTCCTGGTTCTTAGTGCAGATAAGTAAAACTGAATTTTAAAAATTACCTTTACTATTCAATTCCAATCAAGTCTTTTGTGATCTTCCTAAATAAGTGATTTTATCAATAGTTCTTATAATAAAATTGCTATTTATAAAATAAAAACTATTTTCTGTCTTGAAAATTCTAGTAATTTTAGTTAGATCACAGCATGGTCATAAAGGAAAATAAACAATAATCCCTTTTTTTCTTTAATTCTATATTTTGAAAATCTACCAATATATTATAAATCTATAATATGCCATACAATAGTATTATCGATGGAGTCTGATAGTGTGTGTGTGTGTGTAAGAGAAATACAAGTGCCACTTACAATTTACATTGAGTCACACTGAAGATACAGGAACACTTTTAAAATTTTTGTCATCCAATAGATTTAGACTAGATGCCTCCACTGATTTGTTTAAAAAATTAGTATACCAGGAAGAAAAAATATCCCAAACTTAATAAATACAAAGTTTTATCATCAAAATCTTTATTATTAAGAGGAAAGACCAGAGGATATTTTGGTAATTAAATTATACTTTTTAATTCTTTTTAGAATATTCAAAATTTTGGTTAAAAATCTTGTTTTATTTTTTGTTTTGTTTTTGCATCAGTCCCGTATCCAAAGATTAGTACAGGAAATTTTAGTGTCTTTATTGCGGTGAAAAACACATTGATTTCAAATTCTTGGAAAATAAGGACTTATTTACAAATGAATTATTTTAGAATATTTTTTTTCTGTAATCCTGGTAAAATTATCTTTTTATAAGGGTAAAAATGGTAATATATTCAGTGATTTCAAAATGAAAACTCCTTCCAGACGATTTAAATTAATTTTAAAATACAGCATAGTATTTTGCTTATTGGATATATTAAATTTAATCTATTAGCTTTGAAATTAAATGCAAAAAACTCCAAGATCTTTCGTTTTTTAAAATTCATTTTGAATCTTTGTGTGTAACATAGCTGATCTCATTCAGCATTATATTGTTATTGTTTTTATTTTTATTAGAATTGTTTTTAAATATATCATAATTGTATCAGCAGGAAAGGAGATATGTTGTATGATCCTGGATGTAAATTTACTGTGTAAGATTCTAAAAAAGAAAAAATATGGATTCATAAAAATATATGAATAACAAAATACTTAAATCTGTTTTAATTACAGTAATTTTGCTAATACTATTTTGCATTATATACAAATCTTTCAAAGAACAATAGCATAATTCAACAAAACCAGAAAGAACTTTTGTCTGTATGGTATCACATGATAATATATTGGTGAATATTCACAGGAAATCCAAATTGGATGAATCTGCAGTCTGTAGAATCAAAATGTCATGTTTACATTGACACAGTATAAAGGAAGATACACATTCAAATGCAATAACAATACTGAGAATAGGGTTTACAGATGTTGTGAAGCACTACAGGGTGCAATAGATAAATTGTCATCTAAATTACACAAAAATGACATCTGATTTACACAGATATATTTACCAAAGTTACTGCCATAATCCTTGCCTTCAGTTCATCCTTGGTGTTACAACAAGTTTTGTTGGTCTCTCACTCAACTGTGCCCCACACATAATAATTAAGGAGCTTGAAGTCTAGGAAGTTAGGTGGACAAATGTAAAATCATCTGAGGCTATTAGCCCTCCCACCTTGTTTCTGTTCAATTTGGCCATTGCCGAACTTCAGTTTTTAGAATTTCAGGCCCATCGATAATTCTAATATGAATGTTCCATCCTTGGATTTTATGCATTCTGTTGACAAGCAAGTCTTTTGTCCTGTTAGTTCCTGTATTTGTTTATGCATATCTCCTTTGTGCTACTCAATCTCTCTATTTTTGCATATTTTTTGTTTAGCCACTCTTCTTAAGCCTGCCCGCATTTGGTCCTTATTTCATTGTGTATTTTTCTGAATTCCATTCCATATCTTTGCAGAGTTTTCTGTTTCCTTTGCATCATCTCGAGAATCTCATTATTGATCCATTTGTTTTTTTCTTCGTCGTCCATTTTCCTTTGGGATGATATCGTTTACTGATGTCAGTAAAGCTTCTTTTAGTGTGTTCCATTTTGAGTTTCCATTTCCATTTTGTCCCTCACATATACTCTTCACACTGTCCAGATATTTTTCCTTCAGGTTCAGGTCACTCAGTTTGGGTGCTGTGTTAGGCTTTTTCAGTTTCTGTAGTTTACATATAACAGGGCGATCTTCGCTTCCACATTCGGCACTTGGGTAGGTTTTGCAGTGAACCATTGCATTCCTGAATTTTTGTTTATAGTTATACAGGCTCGATAAATTCCTTTGACTAGTTATGTTTATAAAACATTTGAAAGAATGGTAAACCACAGGCTAATATGGTTCCTTCAGACCAATAATCTAATCACAAAAAAACACTTGGACTTCAGGAATAAAAGAAGCCCTATTGATCATCTAGTCTGCTTGAAAACCTTTATTAAAAAAAAAAGAACACTTACAGTATTCTTTGACCTGAAAAAGAAGTATGACTGTACCTGGAAATATAGCGTAATGAGAGACGTAAAAGAATTTGGACTGAAAGGCAGGTTGCTAATTTTTATCAATAACTTCTTAAGTTCATTTAAAAGCTCCAAGTTTATAAAATTTGCATTTGGTTCATTTAATATGAGAAATATGCATGTGTGTCTCTCTCTTAATTTGAGAAAAAATTTACAATAAAGGATCAAGGAACATTTGCATGCCCTATTTTCAGCATCACCATGCATTTGGGTCTGTATTGCCCTTTGTACTGTAACAACTTGCATTACAGTTCTGAATGACTGCAAACACAGATACTACTCCTGAATGTATATTGTTGACCACTTAAAGGTTTTTTATAAAAATTGTGAGTCATTTCTTTTGTTTGTCACTATTTTCTCAATATTCAAATGTGTTTTTAATAGAATGTTTTCAATATCACGTTATATTTAAGAATTCTTCCATCAAAAAAACATTGAATATAGTATAATGGTTCTTTTAATAATTCTGATGGGCTGTAATTTTTTTGTGTTGTTGAATAACAAAACTCAAAATTGGAATACATTTACTATAACCAATATTTATTTACACGCAACTTTTTATTGTTTCAGAACATTGTAAAAATTAAAATATTGAAGTAGAGAATTATTGTTTTTGTTTTTATCTTGGCAGATAAATTTATAAGCCATTATTTAAAATTGTAAATTACTTTATTATAATTAAAATATTGATCCGTTCAATTGTTTCATTGAATTTACTTTGGCTATAATGAAATATTTCATTGTATACAGCTCATTTGGAAGAAATTTAAGGGCATTTTTACTTTTTTCTTTCTCTTTTTGTGACACTATTTAGCTATGGTAATTGATTAACTAATTAAACCAGAAATACTGAGAACAGATAGAAGATATCCTGAAAGATATCCCGTTTGAATTTTAAAAGATTTTATTTTATTTCCGAAAAAGTTACTTTTCTCAAAAAAAACACCTGAGAATTGGTGTAAACAGTGAACTCACAAAAAAGCTATATGCAAGTTTTTGACAATTGATTAATGATGTTTGTAAAAGTACTGGTTAAAGAAAACCCAAGAATAAGATATCATTTTAAGTACTGGCAAGGCAAGTCCATGTGTTGATTATAAAAATTTTGGCATGAGAAAATATTCCAAAATATTTGCCAATATGGGGTGGAGAAAATTACCAATATTTATTTTCTCAAAGAAGCCAAGGGTTTGCGTGGATGCTAAACTCCATGAAGGGGACAAAATGGCGGGCTTTGACGATTGATGACATTGTAAAAGTACTGGTCAAGAAAAACAGAATAACCAAGCATCAAGGATATGGTTTTAAGTGGCCATGTGTTGATTATAGAATTTTGGCATGAGAAAATATCTCGAAAGAATTGCTGATTTGAAGATAAAGAGATTTATTTTTCTTTTCCGAGAAGCCAAGGGTTCCCACAGACTTTGACAATTTATTGATGTTGTTTGTAAAAGCACGGGTTAAGAAGACGCAAAGTGGCCAGGAGCATTGAAGATATCAGAGATTTTAAGAGACAGAGCCATGTGTTATTTGTAAGAATTTTGGCCAGTGAGAATGAGAATTTTGTAAACAGAAATTCTAGTTTATAATTTTAATGTGACCAGCTTAGCCACACCTGCATGGCTGGGACACTGTTGGTTGAGTGGTAGCAATGGTGATAGGCGGAGGTAATTTGATGAGAAAGACGGGGAAATTAATAACGCCCACTGAAAGGAATTGGTGTGATGTACCAATGTAAGGAGGGAGTTTGGGAGGATAGCTATCCTGCAACCTCTCCTAAAAACCAAAGGGATCCCCCGCAAAAATGGTAAGTAATTAATTTTCCTAAAATGGGAAGTAATCAATTTTCCTAGCCAGACAACAAAGCGGTCCCTTGTCAGAATCAAGATTTACCGAAAACCCCAGGCTGTGTCTAACCCCGCACTGGTTTTTTGGTTAATGTCCATATAAGTGAGTGCCCTCAGGCAGTTCGCCAGTAATTGTTGAGATGTTTCAGTCCAGCAGTTCGAGTAGCAGGAACCAGAGCTGAGCCAGCACTTAAAAACTAAACCAGTTGACTTAGAAGACCAGAACTTGCCTAAGAAGTATAAAAATATCATTCTCCAAAAAAATAGGTTGGGAGAAAAACTATATACTCCTGTATATAACAGTTGGATAAAAATTGATTTGTTTCTTTTAACATACTTGAACTTCTTGGGTCTTTATTTGCTTCTTTTCTTTACGCTTGTGCGATATCTCCTCCAGTTTAGACTCATCTTACACTATGGCCCGATGCTTGATTGATCGTGTCTACCTAAGATCAAAATCACAACGTGGGTAAGTTAGACTTGAGATCGAAGTAGTTGCTTCAGTAACTAGCCATTGTAAGTGAGCTGAGAACAACAGAGCTGGTGTTGAACCAATTGCATCTTGTGTGAAGCCATTTGAAATCAACTGACCATCCTACTTGATACCCTGACCAAAGGATCCCACTGGGCAGCAACTAAGAGTCAACCCCAAAACACTTATAGAATAAATATCACAGTTTTGCGACGCAACTTGGGGTTGACCATGGGTCGATGACTCAGTTTCACATTTAGTGTTAACTTTTTTTTAAATTAATGCCTTATATCTTGAGAGTTTTTAATCTAATCATAATTTTTCCCTTTCTTTAGGTCTGTTCTGTATTGTACCATGTATTGACTCATATAGCAAGGTTGACATGAGAACAGTTTCTTTTGATGTGCCTCCACAGGAGGTAAGGATTTGCATTTATTTAGAAATTTGAAATTTAATTTTTGAAAAACTTACTTTAATAGCCTTTAAAATTCCCAAAGTAAATTTGTTTTTTATAATCTGAAAATGTTTTTGTAAAAGAAAATATATTAATGCATTATTTAAACTTATTTATAAAAATGGTAATCTGAAAGCATTGAATGCAAGTTTGATTTGTTGTGAGTTTGTAATGATTAATATAAATGCTTGACTTGTATGAAATTTAACAAATTGTAATCTACTAAATGATAAATAATTTGGTCTTGATTTATTTCATATAATTTTGTAAAGTGATTGAACAAAATTTTTGTTTGATAAATCCTCTGTAAAAATTAATATTCTTACAGGTACTGACCAAAGACTCTGTTACAGTGGCTGTAGATGCTGTTGTCTACTTCCGTGTCCAGAATGCCACCATGTCCATTGCTAATGTAGAAGATTCCAATCGATCAACTAAACTCCTTGCACAAACCACTTTACGCAATGTCCTGGGAACTAAAAACTTGAGTGAAATTCTTTCTGAGAGAGAATCCATCAGCCACTTGATGCAGGTAATATATATTACTTGAGCTTGTTACAAAAAGCTTATTATAGTCATCATACAAAAAGAATTTTAACTTAGTTCCATTATGCTCTCACTTTTATTTATAAATGATTCTGAGAATAGAGAAAATGTTGACTGCAAACATTAAAGTTGGAAAAAAAAATCTGCTAGCTGATCAATCTGAAAGCTAATTATTTTTCTCTCCATTTCTAATCTTTCTTTAGAGTTTTCAACATATTAGCCTTGACTGTTTACTTACTTTTTTTTCCTTTAGCAGTTGGACAACTCACTTTAAGAGATTATTAAAGAAATTAGTTTGCTTTCCTAATCTCAAATTTTGTGATGTTATCACACTTGGAATTGAATCTCATCTCAGTTAATTTTTTCTACTCTTTTTGTCTTTGTGTTGCTTTTCAGTTTCTGTCACTAAACTGGAGTATATGACTCTCCAATACTACCCAGCCCATGGAATGAACTTATGACTGTCAGAAAACCTGATATGCTTTTGAATAATGTTAGGTCTATTGTATCATTTCAGGTGTCTTATCATCCAATGTTGTTCTCTCTTTATTATCTTGACTTCATTCCACAGATGTGAATGACCACCATCTTTCCTCCATACTTTTAGTGAATGTGGCTGGTCTAGCATTTGTATTCATTTCTACAACTGCATGGTATAGGATACATATCATTCTTGGTTACAATTTCTTCCTAGGAAGCTATATTCAAAGGGTTGAACTTTTTCTGAATGCCATCTTTATGTGAACTGTAAATCCACTGTATTTTTTTTAGTGTTCTCCTTATTTATGGTGGACACTGTTTCAAATTCTTGGTTGTTGTCCATGAACCTTCTGTCCTAGCTTGTAGAATCTGTTATGCTTACAGAGTAATTGTTACCTTGAATAGTGCTGGACCATAGAAGATCAACTGAACTAACACAGAACATCCTAATCCAACATTCACTGAACAGTACCTGAAGTTCAATTCACACTATCCATAAAGTATCAAGAAAAGAATTGGTCAAGTGGTAATGCATTAAGGATAAAGGGATGATCAGCATTAGGTAATAAATCTGACAAGCTCATTTGTAGACTTAGTACAAAGATAAATACCATTTGCCAAGTCACTCAAAGATTTCACCATTTGAGTACAGAATAAAAATAATGTCTGTACTCAAGTGATGTAATCTTTGAATGCCTTTCAAAATTACAATACTGAATTGTTCAAGACATATGTACTTTGGATTAAAGCATTGGTTAAAACATATCTCTGGCAGTTAAAAGTTTAATCCTTTGGTCAGGTAGAAAAGTAATTTCTAGTTCACTGAAAGAAACTGACAAGCAACACAAAGGCAAACATTCTGGAGATTAACTGATGTGTCCTGAGAATAAAAAGTAGAATGATAACAATCTACTCCAGTAGATTGAATAAAGAGTTTGATCCAAAATTCCAAGGACATAATGATTATGACATACCTGAAAATGGCTGAAGAGTATAACAGTCAAGAGGAACATGTTAATCTGAAGTAACTTTAAACTTTGAGTTGAAATTTTTAAAAAAATGTTAATTTAAACTCTTAGACATTACATATCTTATTTGTAATAAGTATTTGAACTTGACCTCTACTAATTTATTTAAGCTGTTAGAAAAACTAGTTAGTTTGGATGTTTTGTTGTTCATATTCTACTAACCTCAAATGTTCAAATATTTGCCGTTGATATAAAAGTTGATAATCTAATGTTTATTAAACCAATGCATTCCAGCAAGTATTTTATTTCACTATATTGTGTAATTTGATTTCCACATGTTAGAATCTTGAAGTGATTTTCTTTTGTTGAATGCACATACTTTGGTGGAGAAAATGGCAAGTTACTTCATCAGAACAAGTGACAGCATGTCACATGTGTTATCTACTGGCAGAAAAAGAAGGCTCACGTAAATTTCCTCTTTATAAAGACAACAACATGTAAATTTTTATTCCACCTCAACCAATCACTAGCTTTCTAACTTACATATAAGGCAAGTACTTTGAGTAAAAAGTGAGTTGTTTTTTTGCTTGTTGTTATCTGTAAATTACAGTGTTGTCACTGACAAGCTACAAACTTGCAACTCCTGATCTACAGATTTTTGTTGATTTTTTTTTTTTTTTTTTTTAAACTCTTCAACTACTAGGTGCAAAATATTTAACAACGTTGATTCAATCATTATTTAACCAGTTTATATCAAGTTATCAAATCTTCAGTGTATTAATTTTTTAAAATTCATTTTCATACATGTCTGTGTTCAGATATGTCTTTCCGGATTCCGTTTAAATATGAACTCAAGCTTGTACAAAAATATAAGAATCTATTGATCAAGTAAGGAAAGGATTTATTATCGAACTGTTTTTAAAATTGTTCCATCGTTCTGATATTTTGAAATCATTTTTGATTTGCTTTGTAACGTGGAGGACTTCAAGCTTGTATGAAGATATAAGAACCTATTGATCTCTGCGTATTCCTATATCAACAGAAGGGATTTCTTGAACTGTTTATATAAAATAGTTCAATCGACTTTTTTAATATTTGGAAATCATCTTCGAATACGTTTTCACAACATCGCCCACGTGACGACAACGTGATTTGTTTGTTTTTCTGTATATTTTTCTTCATGCTGTCGGATCTATATCCATATATTTGCTTATATATATATATATGACCCTTCTCGCTAGTCACTTTTGGATCAATTCTTATGCTGATCATTGAACTTGGTTGTTCTAATCTGCACCCCACTTAACCTCACATTGTATTTTTTGATCATGGAGCTGGCAAAGACCAAGTTGTTGTCAGCAATTATAGTGTTGGTATGATCAAAGCAAAGCCATGCCACAAAGGAAAAATAAAAAATGTTCTTTGCCAACCAAATAAAGAAAAGACAGGAATTTCTTTGGGGTCTATTTTCAATGTAGTTTATATTGTTCTTTGTACAGAAATATTAACCCTTTCCACTTTGAATTCTATCATGACACTTTGCTCAGTTTAGCTAAGTCTGGAACAAGACTTAAGTCAGAAATTCTCCTTGGCAGCAGGTCACATGAGATTTAGCAGCTCCTCCTGCTGTCTGTTCTCGTCTGAAGCAAAGACAAAAGTCTTTTTTAGTTTAGTGCGCAATCTTCTCTATGTCGATGACTGTGACCTGGTTGCACATGCAATTCAGCACAGACAGGAGTCCATGGATCGACTATCAGGGTTATGTAAGGCTTTTAGACAGTCCATCAGCCTTGACAAGACACTGGTGATGTATCAACCTGCCTGAGGAATTCAGTATATAGAGCCATCAATTTATGTTCATGGTAGTCAACTTGAGGTAGTAGGCAAATTTGTATGCCTTGGTAGCACCTTCAACCGCCACTGCTCCCTTGATGATGAGATAGCGTTACGGATTAAGAGGGGGGGTGGGGGGTGTCTCTGATGCATTTGCAGCACTCAAGTATCGTGTCTGGAGTCAGAAGGGCATAAAAAAAAGGCAGACAAAAATTAAAATATATAATGCCTGCATTATGTCATCTCTGCTATATTCATGTAAGACATGGGTAGTCTATTGCAGACATCTGAAGATACTGGAACATTTTCATCAATGATGCCTTCAATCTTTGCTTTCTCACACCACTGATACTCTTGTTCTACAAGGGGCCAATTCACTCTCTGTGGAAGCAATTTTACACAAATACAGATTGCGATGGACAGGCCATGTTATTCGTATGGCAGATGACAGAATGCCAAAATGGAGAATTGGAAATGGGGAAAAAGACAAAACAAAGAAAAAAGCCCAAACTTTGTTACAAAGATTACCTTAAAGAGTCACTATGCAAGTGCAATATTGATCTGGATAACTGGGAGACTGTAGCTGAAGAGTTTTTCTCAGCTGGTATTGCTGATGGAGTCAAGATCTCCCTTGAGGCATCACAAAAATATACAGAACTGAAAAGAGGAGTTCTGAAAGGATCCCTGAATTGCACTGAGGTGCCAACCTAGCCATATGCCCAATGCAATCGGATATGTCTGTCCAAGGCAGGTCTGCTCAGTCACCAGAAATCACACCAACACCAATAGTCTATTGCATATGACAATTTCGTAATGGCATGCTTTGAATGCTCAACCTGCACTAGAGTGTTCAAGTCCAGGTTGGGCCTGACAAGATATATAAAAAAACACATTGGAAGTGATGATGTTCAAAGTCAACTTTCACCACCCAGAAATGATTTGACATGCCATATAAGTAACAAGAAATGCAGATTGATGACTGGCATTATGAGCCACTGTCGTTCACACAACAAATGAATGAGTGTGTGTGTGTATATATATATATATATATATATATATATATATATATATATATATATATATATATAATGTAAATTTCCAAGAGGATAGAATCTAGGTAGAACTCAATGTCCAGGACAGAGTAAGAATATAATATAAAAGGCTCAAACACTAATATTCCATGGTTATAATTTATTACATTGGAATTGTAACTCCGGGTATAAAAAACAAAATTTTAGTGTGAGTGTATGTGTGTGAGAGGGAAATGTATTAAAGCTCTAAAGAGGTGTAATGGAAGAAAGAACAAGAAAGGCCTAAAGATGGGGATTAAAATTTAAGAGAAGTTTTAAAGAGAGGAGTTAACTAATGATTTAAATGAGTGAGATAGAGATAAATATGAATAATTTTCAGAATTAAATCTCTACCGATTTGGTGACCTAAAATCAAAAAACAGACACTGGAAACGTGTGGATACATTTGTGGTAACATAACTTACAATCCAGCCAATTTATACTGCCGATGCATATATGAAAATTTTCCGTCTGGTTTGCACTACTAAACTTATGTATACAAGAAAGAAGATGAGAGGGGGGGGGGCAAACTAAAAATGAGGGCATTTATAAGAGAAATGATGTATAATCAAGAATAATTAGACAACTTTGATGCATTTCCCTCTCATATTCCGGAAGGGGTATGTAAACAAAGC